AACTCAGGACTCTGAGATATGACCTGAGCCAAAACCAAGAGCCCATTGCTTAACCCACTGAGCCAGGCGCCCCTAAGTCACTCTAATTCTTAAACTCTGGTGACTTCCTTGTTCTTAGGATCTATTCCAAATCTTTAATGTGACTTATAGACGAGTCCTTCTAAAACCTGGCCTTTGCCCATTTCTCCTGTCTCCTCTTCTGGGGTACCTTCCACATCCCACATTCCTGCCAGCATACATCACCCTGATCTCACACACCCACCCCCCTTCGCCATCCTCCTCCCCCCATCAAGTCTCAGCACACATCACATCTCCGGAGCGGGGAGCTTCCTTCACCCAAGACCAGTCTGGGTCCCTTTTTCAATCTTATTCCCCCAGCACCCTGCTCTGCCCCACCTCAGTTACCTGTTGCATGCCTGCCTTCACTGCAGGAATGTGAAGGTCTGGGGCTGGGGTCATGTGGATCTTGTTGACCTTGTTTCCAGCTGCAGCTCTGGGCCAAACACAGAGCCTGGCACATTAAGGCAGCAGCTGAGAGTCCTCATTGAGAACTTGGTGTGAGAGGCAGGCGAATGCAGGTTCAAATTCACTAATCACCTATGGGACTTGGTACAAGGGGCTTAACTTCTCACTGTTGCTCCACAGATATTTAATGAATGACTGAAATAATGAATTAGTGACCCAAAATGGCACCTGACATTTTATTTATTTATTTAAAGATTTTACTTATTTATTCGAGAGACAGAGAGACAGAGAGCATGAGAGGGGGGAGGGGTGGAGGGAGAAGGAGAAGCAGGCAGGGCTCCCTCCCAGGACCCAGGGATGATGACCTGAGCCGAAGGCAGACACTTAGCCGACTGAGCCACCCAGGCACCCCAGACATGGTTAATTTTAAAACCACATGAAAGAACCTTCCATCTTACTTAAGTAAATAAAAATGAAAGGAAAAACCTAAATTTTAAGGGTACATCACAAATTCTGGTAGAAGTTTATTTGAGTTGACTGCCTCCTTGGTAGGTGGCCTGTGCATCACAAATATAGGATTCGAGTCCGATGCCCAGCGAAGGCAGAGAAAATAAGCAACTAACAATTCATAACCTGGAAGAATAAGACATTAAATTGCCATTTACTGTAGCAAAGTATTGTTTAATAATTCAACAGTCATTTCTTATAATCCATACAACTAAAATCAACAGTTTCTAAATCCTTAACATGACTTACAGACAAGCCCTTCTAAAATCTGGCCCCTGCCCATTTAATTTAATTCAAATATTTAGTTGGAAAATGGAATATAATTCAAGTATTTTGCAAGGATAATTACTGTTTATTTTGATAACATGAAGCTTGAGGTCAATGTCAGCCACGCTATTAACAAAAAGGTACAGCGCACTAGAATACAGAAGACTATGAGGGCTTATTGACCTTTCCAAAGGACGTAAGGCGGTAAAAAAACCCCACATCACAGACCATACCTATTTTTGCAAAATGATGCATCCATAAGGCAGAGGTCTTCAAACAAGGCACTCAAAAACCTTCCAAGGGGTGCAGACACAGGCAGCTTTAAGGAAATGAATGATCAGATCCTCAATTTCTGTACATATTTTTCCTAAAACTGGTCGGCCTGAGATGCTGCCTCCCCTTCCTCAGTTTCCTGTCTCCCACTACATGGAAAAAAAAGCAGAATCTCATCCATCCTAAAACCTCCACATCCTCTAACAAACAGACAATTCAAATATCAGTATCTGTGGGTCTCCTTGAATGAGGCACCACGATGGGCTTCCTATTTATATAAGAGTCTAATAAGGGTGAAGGATGGCATTAGAAATGGGGCTGTTTGGGGCCACACTGGGCTGTTCCAAATTCAATTATATGTTTAAAAATATACTAATAAAGAAATATATGTAATAGAATGGAATGGGAGTGATGTGGCTTTTATATGACTGCCTTTTTTACCCCCTGATTATTTCCAAAGACTATTACTTTTAAGCTAGAGTTGTGTGACAGCAAAGCAAATAAACACTGATTCAGGTACGTAAACACAGCACTGGGCTTTCTTTGTGCCCTTTCCTTTCTCCTTCCTTCCCTCTCTCCCCACCCTACCTCCATCCATCCATCCATCCATCCATCCACCATCCTCCAAGAATTAGAAACAAGACGGTTGTCGTAGGGATGCCTAATAACACATTTGCTGAACTGAAAATGGTATCAGACCTTCATTGGTTGAAAGCAAATCTGGTGAGGCTGATTGGTTTAACAAGAAGGACTGGCTTTGTCAACTGGAATACAGAACAGACATTTTACATAAGTGAAGAGCTACATTTGCAGCTCTAAGGTCTTAACAATGAAATATTTTAAAAAGCAGATAGTTTAAAATAAGCATTTTACCAAAAAAGGGGAAAAAAAGGATACTGACAAATGTTTAACATTGCTATTTTAATTATCTTATCTCTGTCGGGAATATTTTGGGTTACATAAGTTGCCTCTAGGTAAAGAGGAACAGGTTTAATGTACGGTTTTGGGAGAAGTTTTGATAAAGCCTTTTGAGTGTACTTCCCAGGAAGGAAAAAAAATAAATGTTTCTAAGGGCTGAATAACAATTCCTTTTGTAAGTCAGGTAATTTCTAATCATTCTCAATACAATTGCAGAAGGACCTAACTGATTTGTCAGTTTTTGGCACAGAACTTAGAAGGAATTCAAAGAATTAAGTGGCATTATTATAACAAAACTGCTGCCGTCCCATGTAGTTATTCATGGCTTCTCAGCACTTCTACCTCTAAAAATGACAAATAGGCAAAAGAGGTGATACTGAACTTTCTTATTCTAGCAGTGACTATTATTTGTCCATTTATTTGTAAACTAGCTTTTTAAAAGCCTGCTTTCCCATTATAAGTTGGAATTTAAATGCAATTTTCGTTTCATAATTATTTTGGTAAATAACAATTTAATAGCACTGACGATTTATCAACATTTGTTTGGACCTACTGTGAATTAATAATAGCCGGGACATAAACTTAGTCTAGGAGAAATTATTAGTAACTCAATGTAGGAGAAATTTCTTTTAATACTCATGATACCTGGAAAAAGGCCTTAAAATTTATGCAAACGTATACACGCACACCTATATGTTACAGAGATGCACAATGAGGTGATCAATAAAAGATTTCAAGTAACTAAACCGATTATAGCAGAATAAAATACTGTGGGGGGAAATAAATGGAAAAACAAGAGTTCGAGGAAAAAAGAAACAACAAAAATTCTAGCTATTAAAGACAGCTTGCTCGTGTCCATTTTTAATGGAGAAATGTGGTTATAAAACTCCTGTGGCCGCGGCGGGGCGCCTGGGTTGCTCAGACAGTTAGGCGTCTGCCTTCAGCTCAGGTCATGATCTCAGGGTCCCGGGATCGAGTCCTGCATTGGGCTCCCTGCTCCACGGGGAGCCTGCTTCTCCCTTTCCTTCTGTCCAGACCCCCCACTCACATTCTCTCTCTCTCAAATAAAATCTTAAAAAAGAAACAAACTCCTGTGGCTTTAGATTCCACTGCATACATATAAACAAGTGATTTTTAAATGTCAATAGTTAACAACACACCATTGGTTTTCATAATTTCTGGGAAGTACACCAAAACGTTTTTATAAAGACTTGTGAAATGGCCATTACACAGTTCCCCTTTTCTCTGTCACAAGAGGTAACCCGCTTTACCTGAAGACTCAAAGCGTTGGGAAAACTGAAATATTCTCACATCCTTTGCAACTATTTGACAAGAAATTTCTGTGTCACCTTAAAATGTATGAGTGCACGTGTAGTTTTACAAGATCACTTCGCAGCTAAGTGAGCGAAACATTTTATGGCCACTGTTCTAAGGGGCTTGCACTGGGGAGGGGTTTAGCTTGGATCGATTGATCTGATGGCTTTCCGAAGTTCTCAGGGGTTGGAGCTGTATGTTCTGATCATTTCCTCGGGTATTCTTGACCCTAAATGGCCACCAAGGCCAATGGAATTCGGGTCCAGGATGTTGGGGGTCTCCCCACTTTTTCATCTTGTGTGGGATGGTATGATCCCAGGGTCTCTCTGGGATGTTGCAGGGAGCCAGGCTATCCCCCCATCACCCACTCTTCCCCTCCTGAGCACTGCTTGGGAGCACTCCCTAACCTCAACTTTTATCTCTGTCACTGTCCCTCCCAGGTGGGGCTTGGCTTAGGAGATACCGAACAGTCGGATGTTTCTGACCCACAAAGCACTCCAGCTTCTTGCCAGGAAGCCCTACTGCCTGCCATTCCATGACCAAGGTTGAAGGGAGATAAGGGGCTCCTCCATGTCCTTGCAGCCCCACTTTTAAATGGAAAGCACAGTAGAACTGTTGAGTGGTGCTGGTACTGTGTACATTCTAATCTCAGTTCTAGCATTTACAAACTGTCATCAGAGAGGCAAGCTAGTAAACCACTTTGTGCCTCAGTTTCCTTACCTATTAAGTGACGATAACAACAGAACTATCTCCTGAGATTATGAGAGCTACATGCAACACTGAGCTGGCATACAAGAATGTAATAAATGAAGCTATTATTATTATTAAATGCAAAATTTAGAATTTTAGAAGTGAACTCAAGAAAAGACAAGGTGAGAATCACTAGACAGGATGCTTCCCTCAATGGAGTGCTACCCTAAAACCTCCTGTCCCGTGTCCCTGGATTCTGCCTTTCAGCCAAACCTGGTCCCAACTGGCAGCAGCAGCCTATATACTCTGCCTCAAAGGAGGCCGGCTGCAAACCAAGCCACGGAGCAGGAGACCGACCCCTCCAACACCCCCCCTCCCCTCCGGCTTGGGGCTTGCCCCCAGAGACAGGGAGTGCACACAGGAATCCTAGTGTTGTCACAGACAGCTGCCAGGATTCTGTGCAAATCTTCCACGCACAGCACAGACCTCCTGCCCAGAACGTCCCTCTCCTGCGATGGCAGGGGCACGGTGGGCTGAAGAGGCCCAGGGCAAGGAAGGAAACTTACCTGAAGAGTGATGGGACAAAGAAGGACCGGTCTGGCTTAGCATCGACTGCATCTGGGCTGCCTGCGTCCCCAGCTGCTTGCTCCGCACCACAGCCTTGATCGCTTGCCATCTGGAAGGAGAAAAACCAACCAGACCTTTGGTATTTAGTGGCATCACTAGCCTCAGGATATTTTTAAGCAGCACTCACTAGTGATACAGTTTTTAATTAAGCCTGCAGGGGAGCAGTCTTGCATGTTTAGGCTCCAGGGTTATTGCACCAACAAGTCATTCAAATGCTTGAGCACCAACTTTATTTCCGGCAGTGTTCTAGAGATGGACGAAACAGCAGCAAAGGAAACAAAATCCATGCCCTCAGGGAGCTTCGCATCCTGCATCCATGGTTTTGTTAAAGGTTCCCTGTGTCTGAGAAGCTGTGGGAGGTTGGTCAAGGTTTATAGTGACAAGAAACTCTCCCTGCATTCCTGACAGGTTATAAAGTGCTCATCCTTTTCCTGGCATCACTCAAACCTAGTTCAAACACAACAGCAACCTGGGGTATAAAGCTGTCTGTATCAGATTCTTTTATTTACCAAGATAGATTTCCATCAAATTATTTTCCTACTCAAGAATCTTCAAGAGATCCCTATGATCTAAAAAAAAGTTCAAATCTAAACCCATCTCCTTGGATTTTAAGACCCTTTGTTATCTAGTAACGGAGTCTGCAAACTATGGCCCACCACCTGTTTTTGCAAATAAAGTTTTATTGGAATGCAGAGTTACCCATCTGTTTACATATTGTCTATGGCTGCTTTCCTGCCACAACCAGAGTTGAGCAATTGTGACACAGACCATGTGGCCTGAAAAGCCTAGAATATTTACTACCTGGCCCTTTCCAAAAATGTAGGATCTCCTACTAATCTACTACTCCCTCTACTTTAAAGAAGAAAAAATAACAGTAAGAATAGAAACTGACTGGGGCACCTGGTGGCTCAGTCGGTTGAGCGTCTGCCTTCAGCTCTGGTCATGATGATCTGGGGGTCCTGGGATCGAGCTCCGCATCGGGCTCCCTAGTAACTTGGTGGCAAGTCTGCTTTTCCCTCTGCCCCTCCCCCCTGCTTGTTCTCTATCAAATAAATAAATAAATAAAATCTTAAAAAAAGAATAGAAACTGAATTATTATTTACATGCTAATTGTTTTGTAAGCATTACCTTATTTAATGCTCTCAATAATGCTGTTAGACCACCCCTATGATCACTGCTTTTTGAGATGAGGTAAGTGAGGCTAGAAAAAGTTATATAGCTTGTTCCAGGCTACATAACTAGTAAGTAGTAGGACCTGGATCTGAAGCCAGCAGTATGCACCCCAGAACACCTCCTGCCCTTTACCATCACACCATGTAGCCTCTCAGTGTCCTTAGGCATATTATGATCATTTCAGGTTCTGTCAGGGTTCATAGTTCTCTCTTTCTGGAAGTCACTACCCACACATTTGCTGGACATGACATCTCTGCCCAGCTTGCTGAGAATCAGTCTTCAGAATTCAGCTTAAATGGCACGTCCACAGAGAAGTCCACTTTGATTACACCTATCTCATCAGCTCCCCCCACCCCCATTCTCTTTGCCTTTTATTTTCATTCTGCTTATTGTTTAGCTCAAACACAACAGTTCCAAGTTCATCATGGCCGAAGCACCCAACACACAAAAGGTGCTTACTGAGTAAATATTAATTGAATGGAAAGCTGGAAGAAACCAATGGCCCAAGGGAAAAGAATCAGCTAAAAGTGATGCAGCTGGTTGGAAGCAGAGCCTGTACTAAAGCTGTTTTTCCTAAATCAAGTCGTGTTTCCTTCCCGGTGAAGGGCTTGGCTTTCAGTAACAACGGAAAACCCCTCCAGAGTCCAATTTCTGTTGCTCCCAGTCTCCGATCGATCGCAGAGTGGGCCACAGTGGACAGGCGCAGGTCCTCATTCCTGTTAGGCTCACCCAGGGATGTTTTCACTCAGTCGGAAAACAACAAGGCATACAGAACACTTTGTGCCCCAGAGCACAAGTAAGGACTTTTGGAGGTGGGGAGGAGAAGGAATCCAGCTTGAGGGGAGGCGTCCAAGATGGCAAAGTGCTGACCTGGAGGCCTTGAATTCTGAGTGGCATTATCACGTCACCCTGCAGCTTCCCTTAGGGGTGAACTGGACAGTGAGGAGAGAACTGAGAGGGAGGGAGGGAGGGTTCCCCCACCAGCTCTCTACAATGACTGTGAGAAGCCAGGTGGTCATCTTGTTTCTCAACACCCAACAAGGGTGGTGTCCAGTTGGTGGCAGTTAGATTTTTCAGATTAGAGTGCAAAATATTTCCTGAAAACAGAGATAACCCCATCCCCAGATCAGAGAAGCATAAACCCAGGCACGCAGAAATACTCAGTAGTTTTTATTTCATCTCCTTTATACAGATTTAGTTACTTTTCCATGGGGATTGTTGTTAGCAAAGCACAGAAATATTTTCAAAATTAGCAAGGTAAAGTCAGACAAAATCCATCAGAAGAGGACGCTACCTTTGACATGTGGTATTTAAGCCTCGGGCCTTTTGGGCCTTTTGCTAATGCTAAGTCTTCAAGGCTGAGTCTAGGACATACAATGATAAAACAAGGTGACCAATTTTTTTAAAAAAGGACAACCCTAAGGAAAACAGCTCCTGAGAAAGCCAGACATTGTTTCTGATGCTGGGGGGCAGTGCTGAGAAGAGTTATAGCGATTCCTCTTCTTCCATTCAGTGAATATTTACTGGGGGTCTGACACATCAGGCTGGGTGCTAGAAGCTGGGGACACAGCTGGGAGCACGCTGACCTGGTGCTGCCTTGATGGGGGACAGGCTTTGAGAAAAGGATGGCACAAATGTTGAGATGCCACTGTGGTGAGCACCACGAGGACCCACAATCTGTGGCCACGCCAGGGGACCCGACTGAGCCTCGGAGGAATTAGGGAAGGTTCTCAGGGGAGGAGATATCTGACCTGAGGTCTGAGAAGGGGAAGCCAAGAGGGTAGGGATGGGGTTCTGCAGGCAGAGGGGAGCTGCATACATGCTCCATCACAGCAGGGGTGCAGCTGAAACTCCTTGTCCTTCCCAGCCACATGGAGGGGACTTTGGACTTGGGAGACATAAAATTCAGGCTTATTTCTATGGTTTAGTGGTGGGAGGCTTTCCAGAGCTTTCCTTCCAAACACTAGGCCACAAGGGTCTTCTGTGTCCCCACTTCCTAGACAGTGGGAACAGCAAAACATTCAGTGACTTTCTGACTCCTAGGAGGCTGGGCTTGATTTCTGGGTAAAATCAAGTTCACCCAGAACAAGGGTGCTGACCCAGCGGGGTGCCTAATCTTGGCCACATCATTTCAGTCAAGCCAAGACTTGGTGTTGACCCCATATTTCCACTCATCCTCAGATCCCACCAAGAAAATCCAGGCCGATCTCGCCTCTGCTGTGCCTGGCAAGGGCAGGCCTACTGTTGTTCTCTGGTGTTTGTCCCCTTTGTAGGGCTCAGGTTGCCAAGAGCCGTCAGTCACACAAGGGCTACCGCTCATCCAATGGCACATCTGTCTTCCGTTAAACATGTCTATCTTCTCTTTAAGTGAATCAGTATGTGATGCACAGAAAGCATGAGCACTGCCAGGAGCTCTAGGTAAGCATTCTACGTTAGCCATTGTCATTCTTATTGTCACTAGTGTCCACGAGGACCCTATCTGCAGGCTGAGAGTGTATCTTAATCATCCTTTTTTTGTTCTAGTCATAGAAAAGTGCCCAG